TCGTGCTTTGTTTTAATTTAAATTTCTTACCTGAACAACTGTATTTGTGCTATTACCTACGTTGACTAACATTCCGTTAGTCAATCCGTTAAGTATTTCATGTATTTAAAAAAAGGAACCGAACATAAACAGAAACGCTACATATTGTGTATGTCGGTGTGTCGTTAATTTGTTGTTGGGCTTAAATGAACATCACAAGGCCCAATATTTTAATAACCAAAACATTATGTCATCATCCCTTATACATTAATTGGAAAATGATTTGTGAGAGTTTGCTTATATGTCATCTCCACAATCACTCTCCCAAAACAAATATGACATGACAAATTTGTGTGTAAATTTTCTAATATTGAATTCTTAATTAACATATTGAATTCTTAAGTAAATTTAATTACATATATTTCCTTAAGTAAATTTACAATATTTTATTATAAATTTCGTTTATTAAAATTATAATGTGTTGATAATTTTGAGGACATAAATGTTTTTATAATAAACATTTACCAAGTTTTTTATAAAAGATACTTTATTATTTTTTTGTGACAATATTTCCAAATTTATAAAACCCATATATATATATATACACTTTTTTAAAAATTTTTTCTCAAAATAAAATATTCAAAAATAAAAATAATATGATTTATATATATTTGTTAAACGAATAATTTTTTGTTTGCAATAACGTTTGAATAAATATATTTTTATAGTAAAATTCATATTTTATATCAAATTTATGAACAAGGGAAAAAATCTCAACATAAACATTTTTATAATTTACTTACTATCATAAAATTTGGAATTTTTTATTACATAATATCATTAAAAGACCCAAATTTAATATTGAATCTAACAAACAAAAGTTGATCTAAAAGTTTTAGTTGGAAAATAAATGATATTTATGTTAAAATTCAAGTACAAACCGAAACTAAACCATATATAGTCATCCATATTGAATTATGTTTTACTTCAAATACTATTATTTATAAATATAAATTATTTGGGAAGTGATTTGTGAGAGTTTGTTCAATATTAAAAGATTGAACACAACTAAAAATCTTTAACTATAATTAACGTTTTTTAATTTATTTTACATTGAAAAAATTGTATAAACTTAATCCGCGTATAACGCGGAGAGTCACCTAGTTTTTAAATAAATCATATATTTCATTCGCACTTATTCAATTAACATTTTAGTGTTTTAGTTTAGTTAACTAATTTGTCAAATTTTCGTTAAATATAATTGATTGCTTATATTTTGTAAGGTCATATTTGTTAAAACTTAAAAATTATGGAATTATGTCACACTATCAAAACATATATATATATATTCTGACAACCACCAAAAACACTTCTTC